TTAAGAGTTTTTCTTATAGCCTAACGGTTTTCTATGGGAGGAAAACGCTTAACGAGTAACGTTAATTACAGGCCTAACGTTACAGCTAAATCACAGTCTGTCGGATTCTGGAGTTTAGTTGAGTTTTGAATAAAATTATAAAGAATAAATAAATTAATAAATAAAATTACATTACAATATCACTCACCGGAAAAAATGGATCCCAGACTTGGACGGTCTGTTAGTACAATTAACCGCACAACAAGACATTTTATTTGATAATTTTAAGAAATAATCACGAAAATAACCCATAGACTGAATAAAACAAAAGCAGAAACACGGCAGAGATGCCAAGTTCAGCGGCTGATAGAGACAGCAAGGTCAATCCACCTGTCACTCAAGTGGCCACGCCCTTAATTATGCAGAACTTTAAGGCTTAATATAATTTAAACGGATGAGTTATAAAAAAATTCACCCCCCTCAGTTGTCATGAAGGGCAAAATTAGCTATATAGACCAAAATAATTTTTTGAACCAGGCTGTAAACATGTTTTTTTCTGCTGTAAAGTTAGGCATTTTAACATGGGGAGGCATTTTAACATGGGATTGACTCCCTTTTGCAGCCAGCCTCTAGCGGCCAGTTGACGAATTACAGTTTAAGTCACTTCCTTGTTGGCTTCACGAGAGAGAGCGGGAGGTTGCCGCTCGGCTTCAAGTCGAACGCACCTATTGCCTCCTGTGCCGAAAGATCTCGCGATGCTGTGGATTCTTCAAGCAGTTTGAAATTGACGTATTATACGCGACTTTGGGCTTCTTTTTTTGTAAAGTTGCGTGAAAAATCTATCTGTTTTTGCTTTTCAGATAAAAGAGTGGTTTCAGTTTAATATGTTGCAAGTTCATTTATTGGTAATAAATAATTGATAATAAATAATATTGATGATAATAAATCATCAAAAAAACATTAGGCTTGTTTTGGGCTTGTTTTTTAAGCTGCGGTTGCTTATTTATCTTGCGAGATTTGGCAACAGTGCGCCAGACAGTAAAGGCATCGGTTTGTTGGTTGGGAAATACGATAGCGGCCCTTTGGGTGAGCTAATATGAAAATCGGATAAAACTGATGAAAAATGACCAGTGAGTATATAAACGCGTCTTACATGGGTTCAGTTTAACAAAATTAGGTCGCTGTCACACCTGTATGAGAGCTCTTATCTCGGTCACGTGTGTGAGGCCTGTGGGATTGACTGACTCCAATTTAAATGGACTGGACGGAATTAAAGTTTAAATTCAGTTATGACGACGATTGACGACTATATGTTTTCAAATGGGTTCATCACATCAAATTATATTTTCACCATTAAATTAGTCCTAAATTCGTTAACATAAATGGTATGTTGGTATCATGCACACACCTTTCAACTGTGACAGCTGAAGCTGCTTGAAACAGTTGTTGGGATTTATTTACATTGTTTTATTTCTGACAAAAAGTTTATCATAATGATTCAGCATCTGTGAGTCAAACTATGCGTTCCACATAAGGACATATCACTCGTATTTTTTTTAAAGGGGTCCTATAATGCCCTTTTACAAAATCTTGATTTTGTTTTGGGGGTGTAATAGAACAGACTCTCA